AAGAGATTCTTCACTATAGATAGCAGTTACTTTATCACTTAAGTACAATAGTTTGCCAAGCTAAGCCAAGCATAGATAAATAATGGGAGGTTCTTTGTTTGATTGATTACTACAATATACGAGACCATCGTACTGTTACTTAATTTCAATGTATATATATCCATCCTCGTCTTGGCGTCTAAACCACAACTAGTACTACTAAGTACCCAATCCATCCCCAGTTCTCATATCCAAACCCACCTCGACATACTTTCCATGAAAGAACTAAGTACCTAGTACTCACACAGTCGAAGGCTATTCCCTTCAATACTAAGACCTAGGCCATTCCAGTCTCCCTACAGCGAGATTTATACCCTAACAAGTAATTTAACCCTGTCAGGAAACCTAGTATAGCCCTCCGGCCCCTCCCTGATCTGATCTTTCACATTAGTATTACTACATAGGGAAATGTAACTTTTTTCTTCTTTCGTGCATTTATTGGCTCGTTTCATGATCTGCATATCAATTTTCATGTCGTCACACATTCTTTTTTTTTTTTTTTCTGTGTACGTATCAGCTTTAGTTTCTTTCTTGGCGGGAATTCCAAATAGCTAGCTAGCTTCTAGATTAGAAATGGCTACGCAGATGGATTAGATAAATACATTCATGCATGTGAGCTAAGTAGTTAAGTGATCCTGCGTGGTTCTTTGGCGTTTTACTTTTCTTTTTACATCGTGGCCTGTGTTATACTTATGTATTGTTATCGGTCATTATGGAGTAGTGGGCATCTACCCAGTAGGAGAAGGTTCAGGGAGCTGAAAGGTACCAAGAGAAAGCGGTATCAGCGTCATCGTGTCATCGTGAGTTAAATTCTTAATAGTGGTGATGTATCAGAATTGGATGGAACTGAGAGTATATTGAAAAGATCACTGGCTCCCGCGCCATGTGTTGCGGATACTATAAAGTAGTAGTATGCGACTAGTCCCATCCTGGAAGACTCCTGGGGAGATAAATAGAACTCTTGAGTCCACCTATAACAAAAACAGGCCTACGCTTGAGAAAACGCCGTTTGATATGCACACTCAATCTCATCTGCACATCCGTACTAGGTCAGTCATTGTCAATAAATTTGAGGTTGCACTGGACTTACCCCTCATCCCATCTAACGCCTCAAATGCAATAGCGTAATTTGTAACAGTAGCAATTATTCGCTCTAGCCCCTTGCGGATTTCTTCGATGAGTCTGTCCGAGGGGTTGGGGGTATTGTCGGTTCCACTTTCTGGGGACCTTTTCTCCCCGCGCGCTTTGTAATAGATCATCAGCATAGCATAGCTGCCCTGCATTAGGCAGCACGCAAACGACGGCATGGTTCGCGGTAACTGATCCGGTAGCATGTGTAACCCCTGCTGAGTTTGACAATCATCAAGAAGCGGTTGCGGCAGGGGTAGGCTGTAGAACATGCGTGAGATGAGAAGGGATGCTCTCAGACACGTCTTCGCCGAATGCTGAATGCTGTATGGAAAACCTTGAATGAAAGGGTACTGCTGCGTATCTGACGCCACAGAAGACGACGACGATGAGTAGTCACTGGGTGCCTGTTGAGATGGCTCCAGGCTACACGAACATCCGATATTTGCAATACCACTTTGCGATTTGGAATTCTTGGAAGCATTGTTCGGCATTGTGTTGTTCGAATTAGCCGATGTCAGATCGCAGTGTTTCTTGACGAAAATTGGTAAGTCTGAGAATGCCCTGAACCGATGCACTTTGATTTGAGCGCTAAGAAACCATTAGTAAACAATACTGTCGTCCAGGGGCCCATGAAATACCCACCTTGACAACTTGATTCGTGATATTGCACGGATACTCTGAGCTGTTGTCAGCTCCATCTCCCCGCCACATGCCATAGACTGGGGCAAAATTGGAAGTAGATTTGATTGTGCCAGAACAGAGCTCGCCCATGCATCAAGTTGCTGCATCCGTTCAAATATGTATGACATGTTGGTTCTCGTGGATAGACATTTATTCAGATCGATGATGAATTGAGTTGCTGACACAAGAACTTGCTGAGCTTGTATTAATCCTGACCAGCCCTGTACAGCGTGTTAGAAGCCAACTATCCGCATAACTCAGCTTTTATTTTCAGCGATAGGGACACATACATCAGGATCGGCCGAAAACCGTGGATAAGGAGTGACAAATTGGGGGTCGTTCGCGATGATAGCTAAAGGCTGTGATACGGACATTAGCATTCGCACTGCCAGAGGAGCGAGAAAATACTTACTGTAGTGCTGACGATAGAGCCCTGCAAGACGCAATAATACTGCACACACACAGATATTAGTGACCATGGCGCGAAGCAGAGAAGGGATCCATACAGTCATCCACCAAGCTCTCCTTCGAGCCTCCGCAAACTCGTCGAACTCTTCCCCAAGGCAATGCAAAGACATATCCAACGCTATGGCCAGAGCTTGACCAGCACGGTAACGCATCTTGAGGAGGTTGCCTCGTTGGTTGTATTCGTAGATTGAAAGTACGAGAAGCGCGAGCAGACTTTCGAGTTCCACTGGAGTCTTGGGATGAAAGGACTCTCGATCAATGAGAGGCCGTTCGTTTGTCAATGCATCTGAAGGGTATGTGGACGAAGCGTGAAGCTCGCAATCGGTTTCGATAGCTGTATTTGCCAGCTGGGCATATGTGTGTGCAAAAGTGCGACGGCGGATGACGGACGCAGGCCCCGATGGTTCTGGGTCGTTTGGATGTGGTACCAGGGCCAGAATCGCCGAAATCGCCAGACTCAAAGGCGACCTCGGTTTATAGATGAGGATTGGTTGTTCTGACGGGGAATCCGTGAACGAACCAGCACAATCCAGGGGCCGGTCAGGAGTCGGGGGGTCAACCCTTGGTGGAAGTATGGGGAAATAATTATGGATAAAGTCGTAGTATGCGTTAAGACTGTGATCTCAAGTCAGAATACTGTGAAGAATTCAATGAGACGAGTCAGCACCCACATAGCATCTTCACTGCCGTACGTCCTGACCAAGGCCCGAGACGGTATATTTGATGGGGAAGGGGTCGGCTCTAGGCCATGGGTGTTCTCTGTGCCTGGCACAAAAAGATCCGCAAACATGGCGTGGACATCAGAGGGGAAGTCTAGGCTTCTCAACCCTGCCCCCGGAATTGACAAGACGTCAATTTGTCCAAACAACCCGGATGCTAAAGGTGCGTTAGTGGATGACCTAGGTATTATAACTGGGGTCTGACCGCACATTCGTCAAATCCCGAAGACACCGGGAAAATCGCAGGATCCTCGACACCATCGTGTTGAGGTTCTGCAGCTGCAGATGGCTTGTTCTTCTTCTTCCTTGGGCCACCCCGCTTACTGGGCAAATAAGAGCAACTCTTATTCCTACTGGAACACTTTAGTCCCAAACAGGCAGATTAGCACACACGTTCTCTGAGTGATCGAGGGAAGTCAAAAGCTTGAGAACCAAGGTGTGGAGAGCCACAACAGCCCGATGAGCCCTGGCAGAACAGAAAAGCAGCTGCAGAGGGGAAAGAGGGAAAGAGGGAAGAGAAGAGGTCCACAGCACGAAGATAGGAAAGAACACCCGGGTAAGATGTTCAAAAGCTCTGACAATCCAAAAAATGAGGACGTATACCTACATTGGTACACGGGTCTTGGCCATCACAACGTGTTCTTGAAGCACGACTGATAGAATTAGATACCGATTAGTCCCGTCTCCAAAGCCAACCGCATGATAAGATAGGTTTGCCGCAACAAACGAAGACAAAAAGAACAAGATGTGTATCCTTGTCCATCAAGTCACGGAGAGGAAGGTAGAAGGAAGGAGGAAAGGGAAGGGGATGGGGGAGGGGGGGTCAGTGTACTTACCAGGCCAAACAAGCTACTTTGACGGGAGGTTTGGCGAACTTCTTGCGGACCACCGTGGGTCTAGCGGTCTTGGACTGTGTAACTGCCAGTGCCACAGCCGGGATTCCATTCTTTCCACCAGGCTGTTCGGGATCCTCTAGCACCATGACGGCGGGTTTTGGGCAAACAACAAAGGACGAAACGAGCGACTGCCCGAGGAGATGGTCATGAAACGCCTATCGGAGTGTACTACTGTTACCGTTGGCGTCCGAAGGCAAAGCATTCCTTGACCGACTTGACTTGCAAGACTAGTACTGGGAAGCGTCCCAAGCCAAAACCCGTCTGAACCGCAACGACGACGACGACGACGACGATAATAACAATGGCACAGACAATAAAGCCATCGAAGTTCCCTGACTCAGGGGAGCCAATGTGTCAGGCCCTTTTTAATGCAAATCGACGGATGGGGAGGACTGGTATACACAGCGTCAATGACCTCCAGCTGAAGGGAACCCTGCACGGCTTAATCATCAACCCAGGCCCGAAGAGGCAAATCCCGAAGTGTGGCCGTTCGGGATTTGCTTGCTGGAAGGCCAGTCAAATTGCAGGCCAGCGTAAGGTGGCGCTTCAAACTGGGGCCCCCGATTAGTTTAGTCCTTCTAGTGGAAAATATGCACGCCGGGTCGGCTGCATTTCTTCGAATCACGATCGTCGATCCCCTGTCGTTGAACTCTTGGGTGTCTCTGGTATGGTCTACCATTTTCATTTCCCTTTTTCTGCAATATGTATTTGAATTTTTTATTTTATTTTTCTTTCTTTTCCTTTTTCTATTTTGTGATATTTATTTTCTTCTGTTCATCATCATTATTATGGGTCACAGATCTAAAAGAAAGTGTGGCTGTTTGGGGGCAGATCGGACTAAAAGTAATCAGACTACATACAATATACGTACTATACTAACTATCTAGAACTTGCGACAGCGTCTTTATTTTTTTTTCGAGGGCCTGCAGCTACTAACGAGCTGCAGCTGCTGCATTGCTTGATTCGTTACCCTACCTTCGTTTCCTTCTTTTTGTGAAAAATTTCCTCAATCCCTCCTTTTCTCCTTCATTTTGCCCCTCTTAGCCCTCTTCCCCCTACTAGTACAGTAAGTACTACTTACCTACGTACGTACTAACTTACCGTTCGGGGACCATCAGCGAGTGGCGGTGCCCGACACTCGCCATCCGTCTCCTTCCCCATCGGGCGATCAGCAGCCCGTCTCAGCCCATCACGTGATATGAACCGGAAAAGGTCACCGCACCGGATGCACCACTCACATACCACTTGTACCTTCTGGGTACTATTGTCAAGGGAATGGATTGATCTCGCGTCAGTCCGGGTGGATCAGGTCCCCATTCTCTTAGGTTGGTTTGAATCGGGGCGACGGGAGGGGCGGCTGTCTGGTATCCTGGAAATGGGGATTTCCCCTCCCCTCTCCTTCTCCCGAAGCACCCCTGTCACAGACCGGCATCTTTCACCGAGACTATCTATCTACGGTGTAGTCTACTCTACTCTCCCAGTTGCATTCTTGCATTCGTCTATTCGTACACACTCTCTCCTCCCCCAAACCAAATAGAGAAGGCGGGGGAGAGCAAACTTCGGATCGATCTACGGGCTCCACAGAAACCCCGAGCGACTACTGTAAGTACTTGGCCTATAATAACACCCTGCACTTTCAAATCTTCACACGCACGAAAGCAAGTAAATAATTCCTTTTGCTGAATTCCTCACGGGAGATTACTACCAGGACCTAGTTAGTTAGGTAGGTAGCCTATCTGCATCTGTCCCTCCTCAGCATCCATACTAGTCTCCATGAATAATGAGCAAAATAGCCACCGGCACCTACTATCCCTCTCTCAAACAAGGAATATCTTCGGGCGTAACGCGGCCGAGCTCACAGCCGGTTCTCCGTGGCCCATGCACGCTGCAAATAATGTTCAATCGGGGGGAGCTTTCCCGTTCCTACAAGGCAGTCAAGAAATCTTCCTAACTAGCGTAATCTTATTAAACTATGCGATCGTCTAGCCACAAGGCACCGGCGTGGATTCTCCATCGTGGCTTATTACATGTCCCCACTCCTTTATCAAGGCCCGCGATTCATCATCTTCGTCAGGCAGGAGGAAGACCATGAATGTGAACGCCCGATATCCGCTTGACGCTTCCCCACACGCTGGCGGGCACCCTGGGTGGAAGTTTGTGGCCTTTCAGCTGCTGGTCGATCAACCACATCCCTACCACAAATTCCTCTCGGGTCAGAAGACCAATATGTTGCCCGTCCACTAACTCCCAAACCTGTGCTAGCACATGCCGCGGCAGGCGACTACGTGACCAGATGTCAGCGGCCACCAGATTGACCACCATCTCGGAGCACTCCGGCGGGTACGCTTCGGGGACCCTCAAGTGCGAGGGTGGAAGTAACAATCCCTTGTTCGCAGCCCAGACACCCTCGTACCGCCTTCGCTCCTTCTCCGTAATCTCACTCCGCCATCTTCTGCGATCACCTTCGTGATGCTTATGCGGATGCTTGCGAAGCAGATGCTTATGCCTTTGGTACCCCTCATCATCTTCGGCGATCTTGGTCGGCTCGCGGAGGGTCTGTCGTAAATGTGTGGATGGACTAGTGGAATCTGTGTGTTCTCCCTTGGCAGTATGCGGGAATCGCTTGATTGATCGAGACCTCGCCCGGCGCTCTGGCGGTGGGGGCGGTGGGACTTTCCTTTCCTGTGAAGCCCGAATCGATGCTCTGGACGAGGCCACGACCGCATCCGAGAACGCCCCTTCCTCCCGCCCTGAGGAGCTGTCGAGCAAACTCGTAGTACTATTGCTCAGTGATGTAGCATACAGCGATGCAGTGCCAGGTGTCGATGGTCGCGTCCGAGACCCATGGTTGGATTCTAAAAGCCGTCGATGATTTGTCAGGTCTTTCCGGGGCACGGACGAAGCACCCGTTCGGGGAGGAAGTGCTGGCGGAGCCTTGGAAGGGATAGTAGTATCCTCAAGGGGACGTGAGGAGTGGTTCTTGGAGGTCTGCTCTGGATTCACTGGGCCCTTGGAATGTACGTTGATAGGAACTGAGGTAGGACCAGTGACAACCGCAGCTGGTTTTCGTGGCACGGGTGGAGGACGAGGTTTCTTCGCCGCCAGCTTTGCTGCCTCTATGGGAGATATCTGAGCTACTGGTCTTCGCTGGAGCGACTTGTCTCTAATTGGCAAATTGGCCTCGCTGTGAAGGAGCTTGTCCAACGAGGCCGAGTTTGCACTTGTAGCCCATACCGGCTTCGGGGCTAGCAACGGCGGACCCTCGTTGTCATCACTGCGTTTTGAGGGCTTCGGCATCGAACCTTGCGTCCTGCTGACGCCCGTATGTGTGGCTATGATTTCACCTGGCGTCGATCGTCCTGCGGCCAGCTGGGCAGCGATCTGCTGCGGAGTGCGTGGCCTATTCGCCCCTATGCTGACTGGAGTTTTCCCGAATGCATCTTTCAGACTAGAGGGCTGCTGCTGATAGGCACTAAACTTCCCGATCTTGTCCTTGACTGAGCCACTTTCGGGCAATTCTGGCGTCTGAATGTTGCGAGGCGGAACCATTTCGGGACTATTGTGGCTGACCCCTACAGACTCCATGGGTGATGCGCCAGACCTATAATGGGCAATAGGTGACCGTGCTCTGCTGGCAGGATTTGCATTGAACGCAGCTGTGGCTCCTTGAAGGGCTGTCACGGTACTATTAACATGTGCCGATGATGCATGGCGAGGCAACCGGCTATCCAGAGCTGATGTCGGACTTGCCATTCATGGGGATCCCCCGACCCAAGGTTCTGCGGCGGTCGTAAGAGTGGTAGTTTAGGTTTGATCCGGGGGGCGGACAGCGACCACAGCGGGATCACTTTATGTAATCAAAAGGCACCAACAAGAGTCTTTGAGGACAATGGGCACACTTCAATAGTACGTTGTTGAAACTCTTGGACGGGTTGAGATACAGAAAGGCAACGGACACCCTGACTGCAAGTCTGCTGAGCTAATGGGTCCGTGCGTTCTCGGCCGTCCGAAGTTTAGCGTCTCTTCCTCACCCTAACATCATATAACTACTTGCAGTTAATGGTGAGTAAACAGACAACCCAGATAATATGGAATTTCTTTTTAGAACTAATCCCATTAATTATATACCAGTGCTCTAGTCTATCAGAATATTACCTATCAATCTGTGTAAGTGGATTTCATGAGTTTATTGAAAATGCTGAATGATGGAGCACTGATATCGGTTTTGTTCGGCCGTACAACTAGTATATCATATATAACAACTCGGGGAGATGATGACACTCCCGCATCCCTAAACTAAGTTAATAGTATGATTTCAATATAGTACAAAAAGGAAACAAGTATTTGTCAAAACTATATCTGACAGCAGAAAAGAAAAGAATCTGACATATCACTCCATGACACATTATGGTTAAGGCTACCACCATGTGGGTTTGCTAAGCACCGCTATCGATTGGATGGCGCTTATATGCATCGCAATAAACTCTGTCCGACAGTTTCGGTGGTGGTGTTGACATTTGCCTTCACGACTTTTACGCGTGTCATATGCAAGTTATATCTACGAGTCGTGGTTATTTAGGTTGTATGAGGCCATACGAACTAGTGCATATAATGAGAGATTAATTGGGTCTCGGCGTCAACCATGGAGAATGAGTGTTCTTTCCATATACAGTTATGCTCGTCGTTGAGGGATGAGGAGGCAACACTACGGAGTACATAACTCGGGGGAGCAAACCCTATTATTTTTATTGTCTAAGATCAATAATATTTATTTGGTTTTTACTATACTATGTAGTGTCCGATGGGGTTCCCAGGTATACCGTAGGTATCCCCTGTTTGAGGGTACATTCACACCAACAGCTTTCCATTCGGTCATCGATCCTCAAAGGCGTAATTAACCGACCTTCGGTCTAAATGCCCAGGATCCGGGCGCAAATTGTTGGGCAAGACATGCAACATTAATCTAAACCTTCGGGACCCCTCCAATCAAGGCGATTGGCGCCCACGCGGAGGGCGATGGGTTCGTGGGCCCCGCGAGGAAATAACGGCGCTAAAGACACTAAAAGAGGCTCCTCCGCCAGTCACAAGTCAACCTCCAGCTTCCCCCGCTTCTCCCTCTCCCCTTCTAAACTCCACTAACAGCCAGACCTGGTTCCAATGGTTCCTCCCTCCACTACTAGTCTACTGTCCAGCGCAGACTGTTGTCTGACCACGTTCCGCCGATTCTCGCTTCCCGGTTACCTCTTTCCCACCCCTCCTAAACCCCCTGGACCACAGCGACGGGAGTCCCTGAGAGCCACACAATGGTGATTGTCTACAGACTTCCCGGGGATGCTGTTCAGTGTTCGACTCGCTCTTGATTCCATCAGTAACCTCAGGTGCCATGCCAGACTTCCCTCGGTTGTTTCTCGACGGAAAACCGCCCATGAGACGCCATGTCTCCGGAGAACAGCGATGTCGGGCAAGGTAAGAGATCAGACCTGCTTTCATCTGCGGAATAAATGAGGGGGTGTGCAGTTGTAGTGGCTCGCTGGCGTGCAGGTAGATTAATGATTACATAGAAACCGTGACCCGCCCTGAGGCCGAAGAGCCGACGAAAGACGATAGCAGAAGCAGCAGCAGCGGCAGCAACCACAACCATGACGCACCGCAGAGCTCGACAGGGGCTGGTCAGACTAAATGCTCCATCTGCCAAAGCACCTTTCGAAGGCCAGAGCACTTAAAGCGCCACTTTCGCAGTCACACAAAGGAGAAGCCGTTCGAGTGTGCGCAGTGTGGCCGACATTTCTCCAGAACGTATGGCCCCCTGCTTAGTTCTTCATAACCTGGTACCCCAATGCTGTTTAGGATCTTGGCAAATCTTACACGACCCCTGATCTACCGGATTTAATCTATTGGATGCAGGGTCAACTGACACCGTCGTTAGGGATACTCTCCATCGTCACGAACTCAGTCATCATAATGCTGGAATGGAAGGGGGAAAGGATCGTACGCACCGGATCACCGTCAAAACCTTCCGCGCTTGCTATAAATGCGCCATAGCAAGGGTACGATGCAGTGGGGGCTCGCCATGCGCACGTTGCGAGAGTCGATCCCTGGAATGTCAGTATCCGACCGAGAGACGATCGAAGGCGAAGACGCGGAAGGAGAGTCAGCCCTCTTTTACAAGAAACGACGCATCGTACGATCAATCTTCTCATCTGGCGCAGACCACATGGACAAATGGCACCGACTTGCCTCCTTCACGCAATGGAGAACAATCAATGCCGCCGCCCTTTCATTACCAGATGACACAGTTTCAGCTACAGATGCCCATGTCGAATGCATCCAACGCAGTCCCATCTAAATTGTCCGCAGATCACAACAATATAAAACCGGGAAACAGGCGTTCGGATGAGACCAGGATGAATGGGCAAACTTCCAGCGCCGAAGACAATTCTACTTTCTCATCCGTGCGCGATTCTACTAGAGAGGTCAAGAAGATGCGGGTCCCTTCTGTGCAATATGGTGACGCGGGAACACAAGGGTTATACTCACAAATCGCAACATCGACTGAAGACATGACAGAACCCGCTCACCGAACTGAGGGACTTCAGTCCGCCAAAAGCTCTAATAGGATAGCGATGATGCCAACAGTGGGAAATCAGCAGGTACCAATGGAACTAATACAGCCTTTACTGGATCAGACCACTGCTCCTACAATCAACTGGTTGCCTCAGAACCTTGGTAATGTGTCTAGCAACCGCCGTCATTCGACAAATACCTACCAAAAGACCTCCGGAATTCTAGATACCTCCCTTAATCAAGCTTCGTGGTATCCATCCGCCATTCATGGTGCTGATAGTAGCTCATTGGTGTCAGAAAATGTCTCTCAGACACCATCCGGGTACACGTCTCTTGGTGGTACCACCGAAAGCCCAAGCCAATCACATCTGAACCGGCGTGCTAGAAATCACTCAGTGGATGGTGCTATTCCGAACTCATCGAGCTCTAGACTGAATCAGGACTCTTGGTCTTTATTATGTGCCGCTTCCGCGGATGCGTCGTTACAGCTGCAGCAAGCGAATACCCGGCGTCAATACTTGTTCCCTCAAACTACAGAGACGAGGGGCCATGCCACGAACGAGATTAAGAATGGCTATCGCCACGTACTTGAACCATCGACATATGAGAGGATACGCAGTGCATTCAATCAATTGTGCTGCGTGGAGAGTATACTGTATCCAAAGTTTGAAACCGATCACTTGCCTGGTGCGGAGACACTGTCAAGCTTTATTGATTTGTACTTTGTGCATTTTCAGCCTGTTTACCCAATATTTCACACTCCTACGTTCGATATAAACAAGTGCCATTGGATAGTGGTGCTAGCTTTGTCGGCCGTTGGTTGCCATTTTGCTGGTTCCCAAGAACAGATTGAGTGCGCGCCGGTGTTTCATGAGTTTCTTAGACGCGCTACGAATGTGGAGGTGAGACAGTCCTTTGATACCGGGTGATCCATCATTGGCTAATAATGGTTCTCTAGGAAGAAAAGTATCTTGTCGATCGAGCACCAGTGTGGCTTCTCCAAGCATCAATCCTCAACTGCGTTGGGATACTCTACAGTTGTGATGAACGGGCTAGGCTTTTGGCGTTGAATACCTTTGGCAATTTGGTAGGCTTTGTGAACCGCGAGAAACTTCTTGGTCACAGACCTATGCAGTCCCTAAACGGGAAGACGAACGAGCAGCGCTGGGTGTCCTGGGTCGAGGACGAGATCAGAAGACGTACAGGCTACCTGATATGGGTACGTGCTTTGCTTTCGTTTAGGAGGTCTAACACTAACCGGAATTAGCTTCTCGACTGCACCATAGCATACCATTTTGACAAGCGCCCTTTGCTGTCTCTTGACGAGAGCCAAGCAACACTGCCTTCCCATGAAGCTCTTTGGGAGGCAGAATCTCCAGAGGCCTGGGAAGAAGTACGGAGAGGAATATCAGGTATCATTCGTCTTTATCTTCTAGCTCGAATCTACGGCTAATACGTTGGCTTGAAGACCAGAAAGAATCCTCCCTTTATGATGCCGTCCTTATAATGTACATCGAGAAGGAGCTAGTACCTGATCTCGGAGAGTTCAGCCAGCTTCTTCTCATTCACGCGTTATATCACCGTATGTGGGAGGTGGGAGACTACTTCCGCCGCCCCTTATCCTTCTGGAACCCAACCTCGAAAAAGCAGTCACGGCATTCTGCACTCCCATCTGGCTCTGTATGGCTACCTGGTATACCATCGTATTCCAAATGGCGCAACAGTGCATGTGACTGCCTCGATATTCTCCATTGGGCTGCTGGCAGCACAGTAAACAGGTCCGCTGGCCTCGAACATCCCCCAATCTTGCATCTCCATTTGGCTCGAATAATTCTCCTTGCTCCGTTTCGTGAAATGCGGACACTCGCAACATCTCTGGCAATGACAGAATCACATTGGCATGAACGCGAACAGACTCTTGAATGGCACTACATATTACGCTGGGTCAAACATGACCAGTACAAGGCCCGTCTGGCAGTTGTACACGCAGGCGCACTGCTAAGACATGCCCGCGATTTCTCAAGCCGGTCGTTCCATGAGCCAGTCGCAGTCTTCCTGGCAACCCTAGTTCTATGGGCGTATGGCGCATGCTACTCCTCACTATCTGACATGACGAGCTGCCGTGAAGCAGGACACGGCATGCCAGAAAAACCTCTAATTATTCATCTCGACAGACCCTGCGATGACGAACTAGCCCAACTCTTCGTGCGCGAAGGCCATGGCATGAAAGCTGTCTTGACCGGTGTTGGGGATGTATGTGCTCCGCAAGGACCAGTGGAGACCCTCAAAGCTGGTTGTCTGATACTTGCTGGCCTTTCGTCGTGGGGGATCTCGAAACGATTCACCGCAATCTTGGGCAAGCTTTCAGAGATCACATCCAAGTCGTAGACAGACTTATTGAGCACGTTGAAGTGATGAGCGCTGGCGTGTTGTATAATAGTGATTGTATAGTTAGATCATGAAAGAGCAGTCTTCATACTTAGATTCAAGCATTCTCGTAGCATTCGATCATTGTCATGTCACATGCTCCCAAGGTCTTCCGTCGACAGTATATACGGCTCTCAAACAATTCAATGCATCCTCAGTACAACACGCAAACATCAAAGTGCCAGTAATTGACGAACAGACAGATGACAATACAGACAGGCTTCCAACAAGTCTCACAATGTAACCAACTTTGAATGAAAATGAAAGTAAGCAGCTGCAGCGTTCCTTCCGCAATGGGAAGGAAGGCGGGCCTCCTCCCACCTTCTCGTCCGATCCGTTGCCTCATCTTCTTTCCTGAATGTAACTAAAGACGAACAAAAAGACATACAAATGTAGAAATACCGATCATTTCTTTCCTTGCTGCACTCCAATCTACAGTAAGATTATCAGATAGATGCAACGGGAGCTTCAAACCGAAGCGAACGAGGCAGCAGCGCCGTTCTCATCCACAATAATATCTTTTGACCGTCATGACAAGCTAATATTCATGATATCAGTATACTTGACGAGTAATGTGGCCTCTATCACCATACCCTTTGCATACTATGGGATACTAGACTATTCCGTCTCATAGCTAGACTAAGAGAGTATGTGAAGGGTGTCACTGCAATAGAAGAGCATGTGAGTATCATCAGAATATCCAGAATGAGAAAGCATCTACTACTTGGATATAATTACATCGTGGCAAGCTACTAAAAAGCTTAGATGCTTGCTTTCCACAGAACTAGCCAAAAGTACGCTGTCTAAGAATCTTAGCCTGCACGGTGCACAACCTAATACCACCCAGGTACTTTATCAGTACTTTACCAAGGATAGATGATCCATACCATGACGGTAATATATTCCATTACTTACAAAGACTACATACAGGTTCGATCTATCAACTCCGGCAGAACACACCACTACGGACAGATAAGCAACAAAACCAACAAGGCAACAAGGACAGGATCGACCGAAATGCAGGGGCTAATCAAACCCCAAGGATTTATCAGCTCGGGTATACACGCAGCCATCGGTGCAACCTTGTGCCTATCCTCGATTCCTCTGCTTGGTTTGGTGTATTGTGATCTCTCAGATGATGGCTGCATGTGCACCGATCAGTCAGTCAGTCATTACTCTGTACACCCCACGCTTTACAATCGATGCATAGAATGAACCCAACTGAAAGAAGAATAATGCATGAAGATCAAGTTGATGGGTAGGTAGGTGAGTAGGATAGACGGATATGTACCCCATACACGGGCTGAACATGGGGTTGTGCTTATCTCTGACTCACGATGGATCACCGGAGAAACAACCTTTCCACCCCACGGGATCTACCCCTGTCCCACCAATAGTCTGACCGCCACAGCCACAGTGAAAAAAACTATATTAGATGAACGAGAGGATGGGGGAGGAGTGTGACGGTCTTATCTCCAGCCAGTCTGGATGGAGCTTTGTTGGCGGCTGTAAAGTTTGTTTTTGTGCCTGTTTCTTTGGGCCGCGACGGGCCGTTTGGCGGGGAAGTTTGCTGGGTAGATATGAGTTGGAGTTGAGGTAGACCGGGAAGTAACCAATGGATTTGATTTTGAAGGGTTTCTGGGAATAATTTTCAGTTGTGTATGAATACTATTCTGGTTCAGATGATTAGTGACTACATCTTAGTGTCAGATCTGAGAATAGTATATTATGATGTAAGTATCAATCAATTAGGGGTAATAATTCCACCGAGTAGCAGTAAGATTACTACTAAATAATATGGCTTGCTATTGACATGGATTCGTTTCATGATTAGCTCTTGTGGATCGTATAAGCTCGATCTTGATTAATAATGTGGAATGACTGTTCGTGTTATGGTCTTGTGACCGTTTGACTGACGATAATCTTACAGGTAGTTTGTTATCTTACTACTGGTTTCTTTTGATAGGTTTCGGTGGATAGTGCATAACTCTGTACTGGAGTGGATAGTAGGAGAGAAGAGAGATTAAAGTGTTTTGGCTATATACTTAATATAAGGTCTTGTATTGTTTATATATTGCTTGATTAATTCGTTATTTATATGAGAAATGATAGCTATTTCACAATAGTTCTTACTTAGATGCTGGGGATCATCTCCATGAGACAGTGTACTACTATGCCTACCATGCGATGAAGTGACTGCTTTTGACACCACTGAAGACACAGTCGTGCGCTTGATGCTTGGACCAAGAGGCTGGCCTTTTATACAACAAGGAGTAGAGTCTCTACCCGAAGTAAAATCTAGATCTCATACTTAACCCGCCTTAAGCGATAATCGAAGAAAAATTAGGTTTTGGGAAATATTTCGGATGACATTCAATATCTGCACTCTAGCAATCCAGCTAGAATAGTTTCTTTAGCAAGATCAAGGTTAGTATCAAGCATCATTAAGATATGACATGATTTATGCGAAACATGCCTATCATCATTAGTACTGCTTAACGATATCCGATAGATCCTTGGTCATTAGATGTGCTCGCAAAGAAAAGAAGTAAGTCTCCTCACACATCCTTCAACTCTTCCAAGACATGCTTGAGATTCTGTGCACTAGCGCTTGCATGATAAGCAAACTGAGCTATGTCAATGTTAGAATTTATCCAATCATAAACATGTGATGTGTTTGTATACCATCTGCAGTCCCATCTAGAACAAACTCATGCATTTTCCCATCCAGAAACAAAGTCGCAGGGGATATACTTGACTCCGTTTGGCGTGGGATGTGCGTTGGTGCGTAGAGGCGAGGATAACTGGGCGATACTGATATCGAGTTATTAGCTGATTTCATAAACAGAATATATGTTGACCGGAATGATTGAGATATGCTCACCAAACCCAAAATGTTGCGATTCATGGAAGAACATCAGTTTGCATGTTGGTATAACGTCCGCAACAGGCGCAGAGATATGTTCTTTCTTTGCAGCAGCACGGAAAGCGCTGCCGACTTCTGGATACACCATAAGGTAGGTTTCTCCTGGATCACCGGCGATGACAGGGACCTTTTCAGTGACTAGATTCCCTTTTGAGTCGTGGTTCTGGAAGTCTGCCGTAACTCGATGCAAATATCGAGCTGAAGGCGATCGTCTGGCCCTGTACAAGGTAGTCGGGAAACGGTAAGCCGCACGGTAAAACATTGATTTAGCTTCTTGTTAGACAGATAAGACAGAAAGAATTTATTTGCGTGCAAGGATGCTAATGAGCTCAATGGTTGCAAGTATACATGTAGCGATGATACTACTACTAGTGACTAGTCCAGTAGTGATAAGCTGTAAACGACGATGTGGGTCACTGCCGTCCGTCAAGCTGCGGAAGAATATATCAGCCGCGTACATGGAATGTAGCAACCTATGCTGCTAATTCACTACACATTTTTACTATTCTCTCCTGTTAGATGACCCGAACTTCTTTCTATATCCAGAAGATCTCCTCTCTACTCTCGTACTGACTTTGCAAACTACTATGAGATTATGAAGTACCCCAGCTGGTACGATTCTATGGATGAAGTAAATCTCCTTTGAAAAGACATGAATTGCTACTATCTTGCTCAAACATATCATTGAACATAATACTACTCCGTACTTTGTACAACTACCAGTATTAAAAGCATTCACCAATTATCCACAAAAGAAAGCAGAAATACCCAGTTCAGCCCTGCAATCTAGCCCCGTATTTGGCCACAAGCTACTTACTCCCTACTACTACTAGATAGTAGTAATTTACCACTAACTAGACAAACAAACTCAGGAATACGACCAAGCCAGTCAGGCAATCCCTAAGGAATGAAACCTAACACTTGATGGCTGAGACATTCACATCGAGAGAGTCATGGGTAATCTTGATTCCCCATTGGACAGAGATAAGGGAACCCTGCACGGTGTCATCCATCACCAGCCAGCCAGCCCGGCCAGCTAGCCATCATACCTTCTTAGGTAGTAGTCTACAAGAAAACCGGATTTGTATTTTACCTCTTCAAGCTCTCCTATTCTACCTTAATCTCTGCATCGATGAATTTGAACATGATACATAACATAACATACGAACAGGAGTATCATACATACACACATACATACAGTAAATACCCCAACATGACTGGATAAATGCGAACAAGTGATGACAATAGGCGTGAACTCTATCCCACCTGTCATGGCGTCATCAGGTCATAATTTAACCTCCGCGTGGTGAGTTTATTTTTCCTATTGATCGTGGGGGGTGGAACAATACCTCAACCACTAGTTATTATTCTACATAGTACCGTCTGTGGGTGAAGATCAGCGATCGTATTATTTTCTTGTCTTGTCTTGTCTTGGGGGAAGTGAAATTCAAAGCATAATTTGTCCATGTCTAGTATCTACGTAACTCCGAGAATTATATTCGACTCGTCGAAAATACTACCTGGCAGACCCCCTGCCTAATGACACACAACACACGACATAAGTAACATGCAGCGGTTGGGCTCGGGGATCAGGGGGACAACACAAACAAGACCAAACAAAACAACAACGACAAAAATGATAATAATAATCACAATATTATCAAGGAATATTATAATAGTAGTACGGAGTAATGCGCCTTGGCTCGCGTGATACCCAACAACCACATGAAATAAACTTTCTGTCATACGCATGCTTTCATTATGATCATCTCCTGTCTTACTACTAATTACCACACATACTAAGGCGAAACATCTTCATAAATAAAGGGCTATTCTATTAGCGATAGAATATACAAACCAAATCACGATGATCTAAATTCATCGGAAATGTTCCGAGAAGGCGCACTTAAGCATCATCGCTAACTAATTAAGCCCAATACAGATTAATCTAGCACGTATCGGGACAGTCTTGCACGGGTAGAGTAGCCTGGTAGACAGTCTTGAGCTAGATGAATTAGGTAGGTCGCTAGAGAAGGACTACTTAGTAGCTGCGTTAGTTTAGTTAGTTCGATCCGGAATTAGTACATAGTCTTAGTCGCTGTAGTGTACTCCGGACTCCGTTATCACTTATCGCTTTCGAGTCGGTGGTGATAACAACTTGGTTTCAGTGTCTGTGGTCGGCTTGTCCCGCACATAAGCGGTGTCTGTTGATGATATCCAAAGTAAATGATAGTAGCAATTGTTCTACCTAAAGCCAGCCAGGTGTATTCTAGCAATATTCCAAATGATAGGTGGTTCTCCCCCCTTCCCAAACGCCTCGCTATGCCCCTTTAACCCAAAGGGGAACGCCTCCAATATCTATGCAAAAATATGTACAAGAAAAGCAAAGTAAAAAGAATAGCCAAGTCCGGAATCCATGCGCCTCGCTGTGCGCATTGAGTGTGTGTAAAGCAAAAAGAAGTTGAGGTGAAGTGGCACTGTTTTACAGACTGCTCACGGAGATCCCGACCCAACGAGAGGGAACTGCGTTCTCGTCCTCATCCTCATCCTCGTAATAGTCATACCGAACATAACGGCCCTGACTGCCCTTGCGGGGAGGCAGCCAGATCCGGGCCCGCGTCGGAACATCGTCCCGAAGCTTGCCGCTGCGTCGCATGTTCATCTCCAGAACCACCATGCGCAGGAAATCGCTGTTCTCCCGCGGCTCGCGCTGGCGTGACATGGGCGGGATCTCCGGGTCGAATGGTAGCAGCTGTCGGTCGCGGCCCTCAGAGCGTGCTAGGTGGAACCCGCTCCTGCGACTGCCGCGCCTACCCGAGCGATGGTACGTTTGCATTTGCACGGAAACAGGGCAGTTGGGGCTATCAAGGGACTCGTGTGGGTATTCCTGATAAGCATACATCTCCGCTGGTGAGACCGTTATTGGGTTCAGGTACCGTCGGAGTGCGGGAGATGGCGGCTCGTTCATGGGCGGAGGCCGTCGGTCGTCCGTCATCTCCGGCGTGATCGTGAAGAGCGACCGGGTCAGAAAGTCGTCCGGCTGAACGGAAGGAGTAGCAAAAGCCGAGACACTCTGCGCAGCAGATTTGATTGCTCGCAAAGAAGCCGTTAGGTTAGATTTGAATGTGGATCCTAACCGCGGGAACGTTCGAGATGGGGTCGGGCTCTTCGGGGTCAGATCGGGCAATGAGGCCTGCTCGACAAAATCCTCTTCCGTGTCCGAAACTTCGTTTTCTAGCAAAGGGTGGTCGAAGATGCAGTTCTCACAAGGTGATTGGCGGTGAAACTTTCGTTCCAACGGGCTCCGCTGGCTTGACGGCGTAGACGGCGCCGGGAGACTGGATGGTGAGTCGTAGTCGCGCTCCAACGACGGCGTCGACTCAAGGGACATAGAGCAAGCGGAGAAAGACGGCGCCTCACTGTCACAATCACTCCCAACAGTCGACTTGTCGACCTCATCCGGGGGACTCAGAAGTAGATCCAGCACCGTGTTGCCCGTGCTCTCCATAGAATTATCGCCCACACCGTCCATCAACAGCTTGCTGAATTGCTGCACATGATCCACACGAGGCAGTTTTCTGCGGTTGCGAGACTCTCGAACAGTCCAGCCCCGGCGAGGCACGGGGATTGCCGTGGCTTCCAGGATCGACGCAATCGAACTTGGCACGGACCGGTCAGTCAAAGTGGCCGACGACGACTTGTGAGACACCGTTCTAGACTTCTTCGGCGTGGCTGGCCCTTTCTTTGCGGTCTGCGAATGTACCGAAGTCACGCGAGGAGCCCGCTTCGGGGGTATCACAACCGGACTGGTGTGCATGGTCTGCGGAGAAGATTCGGATGGAAATTCGAGACTCGCAAAATCTTGGACGGGGAGAAGATCCAGGGAGGATTTGGTGACTGGAGTTCTCTCACCATGTTGACGGAGAGAAGTCTTCGGAGACGGAGGTAGGGAACTGAAAAGATAAGCTCTTGGGACCATCATCTTCACAATTTAGATCCAGAGGAAAACTGCTTAAAAAGGCGTCCTAGGCCCGTCGAGGCGCTCTGGTCGAGAGTCTGAACGAGATACATGGATGGGAAGAGAGCACGAGAGCAGAAGAGGAGGGAGGGGAACGTCCAGTGGGCGGTTCCCCAGTGGGAGTATATCTGATAGATATAGGCTAGTACTAGTAGTTTGAGCAGATCGGCTATTAGCAACAACACACTTGCTGTGTTGGCACTGGCCAGAGACCCAGCCGAGCGGAATATGCCAAAAGCGGAAGACGGCCGGGTCCGTATGCAGGCACGCGACTATTGCAGACGGCGAGAGAGATGGGGACGGAAAGTGAAGCAGATGTCCACCGGAACGAGTCCAGAGAGAAGAATAGGGAGACGACGAAGACGAGGAGGTTTGAAAAGAGAGCAGACAAGGGAGAAAGTAGACAAGGGAGAAGATTCAAAGGAACCAAAGAAGCAGGGAGAGAGAGAGAGAGGGAGAGGATAAGGAAGAGCCAAGCCAAGCCAGGACAGTCAGCGGCAAAGGGAATAACTGTGTAGTAATGATCTCAAACCAGGAAATCCAGAAAAGGCAGATAACGGGGAAACACACTAAAAGAGAAAGTGACGGTAACAATTAATCTTAACCTCTGCTGAACCAGTACTAGTTACGTGGGTGGATGACGGTTTGTCCGTAACATCGGGTCCCGGCGGAGTCCACTAGACTGCAAAGGTAATATTGATCGCATAACAGAAAAGTTGCAGGCGCCTGACCGCATCGGACAGCATTAGCGCCTTCGTCGTCTGTAGTCCCCCCAAACAGTTTAGCGCCAGTACCTAACAGTGAGGCGCCAAATGGGGGTTGGTTGGTTTCAGGCGGTAAGGGCGGGTGCCGACTCCCGGAACATCCCTCGTACACCGCAGCAGTCTGCCCAACGCCCACCGTGTGACCCTGAATTGTTCTAGCGTGGTAACAAGCGTGTATCACCTCGGCTCACGGTAACTTCTGGAACCGCCAGTGTCCCAAAGAGGCAGCGGCAGAATGTCTCCCTCCCCACTAAAGAATGTTCCATATTACCGAGTGTTACGTACTTCTTCCCCGTCACACCGTAACTTTGGTGGTTTGCAATTACCATCACCGATTAGCATCATTATTATTGTGTGAGATGGGGGTGGTCGGACTTTTGTGTGTCTGCCCAACCACCAACCACCCATATTGATCTTCGTGGGGTGGGTGTCATCTCCTCGGAAATGCTGTCGGGACAAAGGAACATTTGTCCGTCTCCCTTTCCAGGCAAACATACTGACTGACTGTCCCGTGAGATACTGGTAAACATTGATTGCGCCGGGTATCACCAAAGTACCATACACAGTAGGACGGGCACAGCCTTGTGCCTGGCTGACTGCCTGCAGATATCGATTTCTTCCCTAAAGAGGTTCCAACATTCTGTTTTTCCGGTAATTAATAATCCGGGATCCTCCAGACGATCCGTAAGGCTTGGCGCCGAGGATCGCATTTGCTTGGGCCTCATTGGGTCAAGCACGGAGGACGCTTGCGGAGTCTCCCCGATGCACGCTCACTCTGCCGAGGACCAATGCCTCGTCTACTTTTTGAGAACAGCATCAAGCCAAGACCATATATGCGGCTGGAAAGAAGCGGTAAAGCGCAGAAAGTGTCCCTTGGGAATGTCAACATTTACTTCTTCTATTCAATCTGTCTCCGGTTGATCAACGAACAGTGAAGCAAGATGACTCATCTGATTCTGGCCGTTTCTATCATTGTACAAAGCAGTGGACTTATGCAAGGCCTCCAGCAAATCGGCCAAACCCGATGGCTGGAACTCGAAGGTCATGGGATTATGCCCACCGGATATCTATTAGAATGTCATTATCGTTTGTTCTAGGGGCCCGATTTTACTGAGCCCAGCAAAAAGCAACCTCAGGCTATCTGCAGTTACGTGCAGTGATAACCATACCAGATATGGACAAGACAGCTGCTCGGCCTAAACCATGCTGCTATATATCCTTAGTCATCGAAGGGATCAATTCGAGCGAAACTAACATATTTCTACTAACGTTAATACAGGAGAGAAGGAGTTATCAAACAATAATGCTGCATAGTTCTCGGCGATATCCCTTACTAAGGACTTGGAAGACAATAACCAATTAGATAGCGATTAGCGAGAAACAGAACACAGAAAGTAAAGGGAAAGGGACAAATGCAGGCTCATCCACGAATACAGGAGGGAGTTTCCTTCCGAGTCGGACCTGTCCGCTCCCTTGCCACGACTGCGGCTGATGACGATTCAAACGATTTGTGAACGATCTGCCCTTCGCCTCGGCTCGCCTTGCATTTTGGAAACATCTCGTTAGGCTAGGAAAAAGCATCCGTCGGAATTGATCTATTGGGGACATTATCGACATGGTCCCCATGAAAGGAGAACTTGACACGTCCTGAAGACGCCGAGTCTCATCGCTTGTGTTGAACAGCAGTGACTATGTAGAGTGATGCTGTGTGATGTGTGCAGTATATAAGCGAGCGTCATGACCTACAATCCCGAACCAGCATTTGTACACCAGCCTTTGCGTTCTGCCAGATTACAGTCGAGACCGGGGCCTGGGCCCAACCTGCATCATTTCCCAGCCCCATTCCATTAACACTCGCGCAAAGCCTCTGATCTCGTCCGGCCTGTTATCCGCATGTAGCATCAAGCGGACGCGCTCCTCCTCCTTCGGGACGACGGGATATCGGACTGCATGGGTGCGGAACCTGTATTCCTGCAGTCTCTGCTGTAATTTGTGGCACTGTCCTTGCTCAGTGATGATGGGGATGATGGCCACGAACACCTCATCGTTCTTCGTCTGCTCAATGGAGGGGAATTTTAGAACCCCAGAGTTTGATAGAGCCTGCCGCCTTGGATGCATGAGGATGCACTGGTGGAAGATTCTGATGTTTGCGCGGAGCCTCTGGCGGCGCTATTCATAGTGACCACTGATTAGACTTGGATATACATTGGAGGGTTTGATCACTACTGTTCTTACCTGCTCCCCGTCTGTGCTGCTGAGGGTGGCGATCGAAGCTCTGATGGCGGCGATTGTGGGGAAGGAAGGCCCAGTCGAGTACACCAGGCCTCGTGCGAAGTTGGCCATGTATTCTTTGGTCAAAGGATCGCAAATAACTACACCTAGTGCACGTTAAGCTAGCCATTGACGGAGCCAGAGATTGAAGGGCACATACCACCCAAAGCACCAGGGCCTTTGCCAAAGCTCTGCATCGAAATAATGGGTTCCTTCTCCAGTCCCAAGTGACATATGTATCCTGAGCCGTTGGGTCCAACAATACCCGTCGAGTGAGCCTCATCAACTATGAGCACGCCATTGCCAGCCGGTAGAGAACTTCTGACATGCGAAAGAATCTCCGGGATGGGCGAGATATCGCCTTCCATACTGTAAAACGACTCCAGAGCAATGAACACCGTTCTTCTCCCGCAGCTAATATCGGCCGAGCCGAGCTTAACCTCTTCAAGCACATCGTCTAGCGACTGGAGATCATTATGTGCAAACACTTTCACGATGGACGCACGGCCATAGCGGATTCCGTCACGAATGCTTGCGTGGGCCATGAAGTCGTGGATAATGGCATCCCCTGGTTGAGGCAAGGTGCTGTATATGCCAACGTTGGCTTCGTATCCTGAGTTGAAGAACACGGCCTCTTTGCCGTGGTGGAAGTCGGCTAGCAGTCTCTCCAATTTCGTGACCTCGTTGGTGGAACCCCCGAGGCATCGGCTCGCGCCAGCTCCGATAACGAAATCAGTACTCTTTCTCAATTCTCCGTGGAAGATTTCGTGCATGGAGGGACTGGATCGGAGACCTAGTGTGTCGTTGGACCCGAAGTCAACCATGCCCATTTCGGTGGCAGGAGGGCTCATTTCAAAGTATTGGCCTTGCTGTCGTCGCTTGGCGATGCCCGACTGCAGGGCCGCAGTCAATGAGGGCGGGAGCTGCATCGCGTGAGTTCAGGGATAGAGTTTCTTCCACTGATTCGCAGGAAGGTTAAGCCAAGCGTGAAAGGGCGGTTGATTTCTCGATGAAGTTTGTCGGCGAGACTTTATAAGTCAAATCATGGAAGACTGGGACTTGTTCCTATCCATGGTAATGTGTGTTCTTGCTGTCCTTAAAGCACGTCGATCTGGACACACAAAACGACACTGGCTGGCATATGGTGGGTAGCACCCAGTGTGCATCTTGAATAGGAAATGCTCAAAGCCATGAGTGTCAAACGTCCGGCCGACGCTTGCGGGATAGGACCCAAACCCTAGTTTCCGCTTCCCAATGTAGTCCATTCGCAATACGGGGTACAGGTGGCATGGACAGCAAATGAAAAACTTGTCTGTCAGTCCTTGGTCAAACTTTGAATGGAATGCTATGATATCAATGATTCCTCTTTTTAACAATATAGACACATGACATGTCGATCTAGCCATCAGATCCACTCATCTGACGAAGATCATGCATATGCATTGACTCACGTCTGAGATCAGACTATACGCAATGATCAATTGATTGCCATGCTCCTTTGGACGGCCCTTGTCTTCTTGTCACTCTGTACTGGATCTCTCGTTTCTCTTGTGGAGTAAACCTTCATTGATCAGCATGCGCGGGCCAGTAGATTGCCAGAAGAACGGCCTTCGTGACGAGTTGAAAGTCAAAAGTTCGTCCACCTGCTGGATCCGGCGAGTTGCAGTGACTTCTTGTCGACTACATTACCTTATCGCCACCAGTGATGATCTCAGTCACCCGTCGTCCACGCATGGGACGGCAATCAGGTCGCTGTCGTTCCGAACATGGCAGTTGGCCGCGGAATCGTGAGGTTGATGTTGGACTGCCGTGGAACTAAAACCCCGAGCGACTTCAGCGGAGTACGTATTGAACGGCGATGTTGTTTGGAGGGTACCGTGGATTTATGATAAGTACTTGCCTTGCTGCTTTCCTGTTTGCCCACAGGAAGAAACCACAAATGAAAGCATCGAGACATTTGATTGCCAATCAATACATATTTCATCAAACCCTCCATTTGCATGTAGCCGCTCAGTTCAGATACCGTCCCTTTATACTGAACTGGACCCAAGTCTCCGCTAAGACAAGAGTGCAATTCGAACGGTGGAGTCCACAATGGTTTGCTATACCATGATGGAAAGAGTTCTGGCGCAACATGCTCAAGAGCATCCAGACGCTATGGCCGTGCTGGACGGGCCTCAAGCCCTCACGTATGGGCAACTGCTAGCCCGTGCCACATGTCTGGCGGACAGGCTTCAGCTGAAAGACAAGGTTGAGGCGGAAGAGCCCGTCGGTATTCTCCTCAGCCCTGGCCTGAGTCAAGTGGTGGCCCAAGTGGCCGTCCGTCTCGTCGGTGCAACATGCGTCCCTCTCGATCCGAAACAGCCCCAAAAGCGGATCTGTGAATTGCTACGTGATGTTGCCGTCAGACGAGTGATCGTTGAGGATCTGTGCACCGAGCGGTATGAAGGCTTCGACCTTCACCCGATGGAACACCTCGAACCCGCGCTATTCCGCCACGATAATCACTTGGTTACTCAGAAAGACTGTCCCCAGAAAGAGGATGGACGGAGTCACATCCTTTTCACATCGGGGTCCACGGGAAAGCCGAAGCCCGTCCAGATCCAGACAAGCAGCATCCTCCATTTGGCAATGGAGAACAACATGACTCCGCTGTCCTATACCGATCGCGTGACCGCATTCAACAATCCTGGGTTTGATCTGAGTCTGTTTGAAACGTGGGCCACGCTGATAGCTCGGGCGACTATCGTGGTCCTGCCCAAGGGAGTCGCAACCGACGCAAGCCGTCTTCTTGCCTTCTTGACTGAGACTCGAGCGAGCGTGATGATCATCCCAACGGCCCTCTTCAATGTTATTGCGTCGACAGCCCCCAATGCATTTCGTGCTTTGCGCCATGTGATAACAGCTGGCGAGGCGGCGAATCCACGAGCGCTGCGATCTGTTCTGGAGAAGGAACCTCCAGAAAACCTGTGGAATGGATACGGTCCTACTGAGGGGACTACCCTGACAACCTTGTACAGGGTAACCTTGCCGGATTGCCTGGAAGACCGCATCAGCATTGGCCAGCCTATAGGAAAAGCCATTGTTTATTTGCTAGACGATAACCTGGAGCCTATCGAGGAAAGCGGCATCCATGGCGAAATATGCATTGGCGGACCGGGAAAGTCAGCTGGTTATCTCCACAGAAAACGTGAGAATGAGGAAAGATTTGTCCAAATACTTAATCCACACCGGTACACAAAAGGCACAGGCATAACTGACAGCACGACTGACGCTGGTAGTTCAATTGTCGAACTGTATCGTACTGGTGACATTGGCCAGTGGCGACGGGATAAACCAGGATTCTTGGACTACATCGGCCGTCGCGATACACAGGTCAAGCATCAAGGATTTCTCGTCGAACTCGAGGAAATTTCGCGGATTATGGAGTCAAGCCCACTCGTGGAATCGTGTGTGGTCATACAACGACCACCCTTGTCGGTTCTCCACTCGTCTATCTTGATCGCGTATATCATCCCCAGTGGCGGGAATAAGCAGAGTCAAGACGCCATCCTTCGATTTGCACAGGCCACCCTGCCATCCTACATGATCCCGGAGCGATTCGAACTAGTCACAACCTTTCCCTTGACGGCCAATGGAAAGGTCGACCGCCAGGCTCTTCTGGACAGTTATGCACAGGGCCCACGTAAAGGCGAGGCTGGAAGGAAGCGGAGGGTCGTTAATGACACAAGCATCAGCCCCAATGACACGGACACGAGGTCAGTTCTAGCGAAAATATGGGAGGAGCTACTCCAAGTGTCCCACCCCACGCCTGAGCAAGATTTCTTTCTTTTAGGTGCCTCGTCCATTCAGGCGGCGGCTCTGATAGCACTCATACAACATCGGCTGGAGCGCCTAATTACCATGGATGAACTACATACGCATGCCCGTTTCTCAAGCTTGTGTGATCTTCTTGACACTGGGCAGGCGCCCGGGGACGATAGATACAAGAACGCCCCAGATTATACGAGTATTTGGGCGAACGACGTTGATATTGTCAATGACATTCCACTCGCTCCGGACTGGGAGTCGGCAGCGGAAGGGCGAGCTTTCCTCACTGGTGCGACTGGATTTGTGGGAGCGCATATCCTCCGCCGACTCATTGAGAGGTCGGGTGTGAAGCAGGTCGCGTGTATTGCTCGAGCTAGAGACGGTCAGAGCGCCGCTGCTAGAGTGCAGAAGGCCATGGAGAAATACGATCTGTTTCCCGAGTCATTGGAGCTCTCCCAGAAAATTTTGGTTCTGGAGGGAGACATTAGCGACGAGAAGCTTGGGCTTGGACCAACGCAATTCAATTGGCTGGTTGATTGGGCCAGTGTGATCTTCCACGTTGCGGCCAAGGTCAACTTCTGCGAGTCGTACCAGGAACACCACCGCGACAACGTCATAGGGACACGGAACGTTTTGAACGCTGCAGCGCTCGGGCGCCGCAAGGCGTTCCATTACATGTCGAGTATCGATGTCTTCGGTCCGTCGGGCATGATTCTAGGCACGCGAAGCATCCCCGAAGACAGTCCCCTGATAAAGCACTTGCCTGCCTTGCGATACGACCTCGGGTACGGGCAGAGCCAGTGGACCGCCGAGGCGATGGTGCGCCGTATGCAGGAAAAGGGCCTCCCGATCGCCATCTACCGTCCTGGCTTTATCATCGGAGATAGCGTCACTGGCGCCAGTAACCCTGATGACTTTATTACGCGATGGATTGTCGGGTGCATGGAGATGGGGACCTTCCCGCGAATAGTTGACATGCGATTTGAGTATTGCACGATCGACTTTGTCTGCTCCTCGGTGCTCCAAATTGCTTCGGAGAACAAGAATCTTGGTCAAGCCTACCACATTCTGTCCCCCGACCGGACCAAGTCCCTAACCGTTGAGGATACCATCATTCTCCTCCACGAAGCCGGGTATCCCGTGCGAATGATCAATTACTCCGACTGGGTGGAGCAGGCAGTCAAGTCGGGTACGTCGGAAGGCGCACTCGCGCCGCTGATGCCCCTCCTACAGGAGCGAGTGCTTGGAGAACTGACGCGCTGGGAGTGTGCTCAGTTTTCGCCAGTATATGAATGCACGAATACTGTTCGTGCCCTTGCCGGTTGCCCTGAAGCACAGTATAAACCATTTACCATCGATGTCTTGAGACGCAGCATGGCATTCTGGAAGCGGAAAGGATTCTATGATGTGTAGAATCGGTTAGGATGGTGAGAGCGTGAAGTGATGAAACACATGGCTACGTAGTAGTAGATAGGCCGTTTCCCGTCCTCATGGATCAGGCACATACACTAAACCTCTTTTAGTAATAACCAACCAGCGGTAATCTGTAACCAACTATTTGTGCCGACCGGAAACGATCCAAATCAGTTCTTTGATGGTGGGATGCCCTTCTTTCTTCCAATAGGATATGTCTGATAGTCAGAACAGAGAAAAAGAAAGCATATCATGACTATCTTGCAGATATGAATCCACAGAGGGAAGTACTAGTCACTTCCACGCAGAACTCTAAGATGAACAACGATTACTAGATAACCAAGTATTTATCATGGTCTGTTCATCATCACCATAGTATATGCCGATGCCTAAGTGACATTTATCTTTCTACAGTACCCTCTTTCATAGTTAACTGCTAGTTTATACTTAGAGTTGACTCTGGAAGGGCGCATTAGTCATCCACCGTTTCTTATCGCCGCACATCCAACCAACCGGGCCAGATCGTCGAGCTGCCGGCGCGCAGTTGCACAGACTCGCTATCTCTTCCTTTTTACTTAACCCCCCTCCAGCATTGTCCAATCATTCCGTCCAGATCATCTCCTCTTATCATCCTCCGTCGGTTTCCATTCATTCTATGCTCATTGCTTTACCCCGTACAAACCCCCTCCCCGGTTCCATCTTCTACCCAGAGCAATCCGTCGCCTCCACTTGCGGGTCATTTCGTCAACCCATTCCTGCACGTCGCGGGGTAGTCTAATTCTTTTTGTGGTTCGATCTCGGCTTGACTGACTGGACTGATCTGTGAGTCGCCCAACATGCATCTCTCGACTTCCTGACATCCTCCGATTGCCGATTGCGCAACACCTCCATCCTTCCTCTGCACTAGCTCCTTCTGCGACTTTGCCAATAGTACCGTCCTAGCTCCTGCGCGCTTGCCTAACTAATGCCTCTACCACGGCCTCAGATTCGCTCTTTTGCTGTCGAGCTTATGCCGGTACCCTCGACCCGCGCTTCCCCTCCACCCATTTTGTGCAGGGGCCTTCTGGGTTCCCTCTCCAGTAGCCCGACCCGCTCTTTCCCCCCTCGAGAAGCATGCTTCGCCCTGTTTTGACGCTTTCTCCGAACACTTCTGGGTGGACCTGACAGCGATGGAAGACAGCTCCGCGGAGAAGTCGCAAGAGATGGACGCTACGCCCACCTTGACAGGCTCTCGAGGGAAAGCTCCGACCAGAGCTCAAGCTACAAAATCGGACAATGGCCCGGCTTCGAAAAGACGTTGTGTCAGTACGGCGTGTATCGCCTGCCGCAGGAGGAAATCCAAGGTACGACCGACCCTACCGCTGTACATGCTCTTTGTAGCTGATGGTGTGGTCTAGTGCGATGGAAATCTACCGAGTTGCGCAGCCTGTTCCTCTGTCTATCACACAGCCTGTATAGTACTGCCTTTCATGCTCCTCTCAAAAGATAGAGGCTCACAATACCCTAGGCGTCTACGATCCGAATTCCGACCATCGCAGGAAAGGTGTTTATAAGAAGGATACCGACGCGTTGAGAACGAAAAACACTACATTGTTGACGTTGATACAAGCCTTATTGAACTACGAAGAGGAGGATGCATTCGACTTGGTTCGCCAGATTCGGTCCTGCGATAATCTCGAAGATGTCGCACAATCGATCCTCGGCCAAGGGAGAGGTTCCACGGCAGGCCCTGAGGACACAGTAGCTAGCGGAGATGAAGCCCTAACGCAAACTGACCAGTTCGAGTCGGAGTTAGCAGGGAAGATGAGTGAGCTTGTTTTGGACGGCTCCCGCAAGTTCATTGGCGGCACCTCGAACCTCATCTTTCTGCCTCCCGGGTCGGAGCTGAATGAATTTAGATCATCTTTAGGTGCCCAGGAATTGGATCAGGGCCATGGTGATTATTCCGTCACACGGTGGACCCGTGTTACTCAGGATGAGAGACTGATCAGTCATCTCATGACAATGTACTTTACCTGGCATTACCCGTTCTTCACGACCCTTTCTAAGGATTTATTTTATCGGGACTATATACGCGGGGTGCCCAGCCAGTATTGCTCGACTTTGCTCGTCAATGCAATGCTAGCTCTGGGTTGTCATTTCAGCTCCTGGGAAGGCGCTCGGGAGGATCCAGAGAATTCTGCCACGGCGGGCGATCATTTCTTCAAAGAGGCCAAAAGGCTATTTTTCGAGAACGATGAACACGCGAACGCAAAGCTATGCACCGTACAAGCGCTGGCTCTGCTGTCGGTGCGTGAGGCGGGTTGTGGCCGCGAGAGCAAGGGCTGGGTCTACAGTGGGATGAGCTTTCGGATGGCCTTCGATTTGGGCCTCAACTTTGACTCGACCAGCCTCGGGGCGCGGGATCTGGGCGAAGAAGAAGTGGATGCACGCCGGATAACATTCTGGGGTTGCTTTCTGTTCGATAAGTATGTGACCATACAGTCTCTTAGGGGATCTTTGATGTGATCTAACATTCGCAGGTGCTGGTCTAATTACCTCGGTCGCCAGCCCCAGTTGGCGGGATCTAGCATTAGCGTCCCGAAAGTGGATATATTGCCTAACGAGGAAGCTGAATTATGGTCCCCATACATGGATACGGGAGTAGGTCGTGAGCACACTCAACCGTCGCGGATCCGAGCCGTTGCCTCTCAGATCTTCCGGCTGTGCGAGATCAATGGCGACCTGCTTGTATTCTTCTACGACCCGACTCCGAAGGAGAAACCCACCACTAAGCAGGCAGAACTCAAGAAACTCAGCGATCTGCATACAAGGCTTGAAGCCTGGAAGAAGGATCTACCAAAGGAACTCAGACCACAAGAGGGCCAGCTTCCTCAGGCACTTCTAATGCAGTAAGTTTCATCGTGATGGCTGCTGTCGCATCAAGCTGTATCACTGACAGACCAAAAGTATGTTCTACCAGCTCCTTCTCATACACCTTTATCGACCTTTCCTCAAATACTCCAAAGTCAATTCTCCGCTTCCCCAACATGTGTCTCCCCGGAAATTGTGCACACAGGCTGCTTCTGCAATCTCAAAGTTGCTGAGGATGTACAAACGGACCTACGGGTTCAAGCAAATATGCAACATTGCAGTCTACATTGCCCATACCGCGTTGACTGTACATCTTCTCAATCTTCCAGAGAAGAATGCTCAGCGAGACGTCATTCATGGCCTGCGGCATCTCGAAGAGATGGGTGAGAGTTGGCTCTGCGCACGGCGCACCCTTAGGATTCTAGAGATTTCTGCCAACAAGTGGCATGTCGAACTGCCGGCAGAGGCTACAGCCACTTTCGAACAAACACATGCCAAATGGGGATCCTGGGGCTCATGGGATCAAGCGATATCTCCTCCGCCTTCCGAGGAGTCACCGCCAGCTCCAACCATGCATTATCCGGTTGCAGATCCAAGCAGTGCCCTTTATCCACAGGCTGGGAGACCGATGGGTTCACATGAGCATGGCGGTCCTGTGATGCAGTCGCCACCCACTTCGGTGGGGTCCACGGGATTTTCACACACAACGGGACCTCCAATACCACCTTCTGTGTCGGCTGTGCGTGCAGCGCAGCGGTCATTGAACGTCCAGCTTGCGCAGGGCGCTACCCGGCTTCCTGAGCCTACGTATCTCCGGCCCGTAACCAACGCCTATAATCAGTTCCAGCCCGTTCCGGTGGCCCAGCAGGAGGTCTGGTATGCCCCGGACGAAGAACAGATCCGCGCATTCACCACTGGGCAGAACATTCCTGCAACCACGACATCGTCTCCTGTAACACCCTTTGATGGGCCGGAAAATCTAGTAGAAGAGAGCCAAGACTGGTGGTCTCGTGAATCGAGCGCCATGACCTTTGGAATGGACCATTGGGTGCCAGGATGGAACCCTGGTATGACTGGGAGAGAACCCGACATGCGGTTCGGAAACCATTACGCCAACGTTGGGCAGACATCGGGAGCCGAGAACAGCTCTCGACCAACCCCAACGATGAGGTTTGGGGTTGGAGCCCCTCCAGGGAGTGCCAATCCAGAGCAGCATCCAGGAATGCCTGGCTACAGTGGCGTGTGATTGCTGGGACAATCAAAAGGTGATAATTCCGTTGCAGTCCTTGGCAACGCAAGTTGCACCCCGCGGTGCCTTGAGATAAAGAAAAATAATTACGATGTTACGATAAGTTTGGCATATGTGCCTGAACTAATGTTTGTTTTGTGCTATCTGCTTCGCCTTTCTTGGATGTCTGGATCATCCTTGGATGCTGGCATTCGGGTTCCATTTCAGGCTTCTTGTATAGTTCATATGAAGATGGACACCATACCATACCCTTTCGGGCGATTTATTAGATATCGATTCAAACAGTATAATGGAAAAAAATCACTACAAGAGGATCGGCCTTGACCCTACCTATCGCTAACATCGGCTCCCCTCCTCGCATTTCAAGAACCCCTCACTAGCTCGCCCCGGAGGCAGCAGGGCAATCAAGTAGTGATCGCGGATGCCCAAACCCAACTACCATGAAAACCCGAAATATACAAACCTACCCATCAACTACCTAAACCAGAGTAAGTGTAAAGTGTAAACAGAGCCTTGGTCAAATGAATTCGGTCAACCCCGACCATACACAAAAAAAGATACAAACAAACAGTAACAAAAGGCAATCGTGACCCAAATGCTAGCAGTCATGGATGATGCAGATACACACACACACACACACACACATACAAAGCCCGTCCGTCGTTCATTTGCCCGAAATAAAGAAACACAACACAACAGTACATAGGAAGAAAGAGATCAAGAAAGTTAAAAGCTTCAAATTCTGTATGTGAAATGCAAGAAAGCATGCGTGTATCATCGTGTTAAGTGTCCAGTAAACGGCTGTACCAACCAACGACAAAACAACTACGACTGAAGTATCATAGTTGATAGGAAGATGATGATAAGAAGTAAGGGGAAAGACAAGTCATGTTCATGCACAGGCCGGCCTATATAAAGGGGATAGAAGATGCGAGGATGTTGGAAGGACAAGGCGGTAGGAAGACGGCTGGGATACAGACACAGACAGGACAGAGACGCATAAGCAGAACAGATGTAGATAAGATAAAGGGCATAACAAAATGCATTCGTTCATACGGCAAATGGTATCACAGGAAATAATCAGCAACAGGCTTCTTAGCAGGCATGCCTCTGGTATCCTGCGCCGCGGCCTCAAACACCCTATACCGTCTCCCGGGACTGCGGACGGCTGGTTTATTGGTCGATCCCAGTATACCGTTACTCCTTCCATAGTCGCCATTGCTTCTGGCGACGGTGCCACCGTTGCTTGTATCTTCGCCTAGTTCCAGGATAGCGGCGACGTTGCCGCACCGGTAGCAGTAGTTGGGGGCGGACCAGACTGTTACGATCCCGCCGTCGAACATCTCCTTGTAACCTTCCATGACGAGTTGATGCGCGCGCGCGATCAGTGATAGGTCGTTTCGGTAGTTGAAGCGTTTGACGATGTCGCCGCCGAAGAGGAACCCCGCGCCGCGGGGACTGAGACCCCAGCCGTCGATCTCGTCGGGGTCGGACCAGAGCAGGTCGCACATGGCGCCTTCGTGTGGCACTTCCTGTTTTCGGTCAATCAGGCGGATTTTGTCGACTGTGTCGATGGCTGGGGAGAGGCCGCCGTGCACGCAGAGCACGGCTCCGGTGCGGCTGCCGTAGCTCCCGCCGGCGTCGCCGGAGGCGCTTGTACCGGCAGCGCCGGAGCGGAAGGGGGCTTGGTTGGATGTGGCGGATATGTCGCGGGGTGGGGAGATGGATGATGGGTCGGAGGAGTGTTGTGGGCGGGGGCGATAGGTGCTCATGGTGACTTCGCCTCTGGAGTTGAGGATTTCGGTCTCGAGTTCGTCATCGATCGGCATGGTGGATTGGGTGGTATCCATGCTGGGGCCGGTGGGCTCGAGCTCTGAGCTGGCGCCTAAGACGAGGGCCCCAAGCGCAAGGTAATCGAAGACCTCGCAGCAGTATCGCCAGACGTTGGCGCTGCCGTATTTGCGGATGCACTCATCGTAGAAGCCGTAGACGGTGGTGATTTGGCGCGATTCGTGGTTGCCACGTATCAAGGTGATGCGATCGGGGTATCGGACTTTGAGGCAGAGAAGGAGGAGGAAGGATTCGAGGGAGTAGAATCCGCGATCGACGAAATCGCCCATGAATAGGTAGTTGGTGTCCGGGACGTCGCCGCCCACGCGGAACAGTTCCATCAAGTCATGGAACTGGCCATGGATGTCGCCACAGATTGTCACGGGCGCGTCAACGGAGACTACATTTCCTTCTTCGATTAGGAGCTCGCGCGCCTTGTAGCAGAGTTCGCGGACCTGGGCTTCGGGTATCAACCGACAAGCGCGTAATTGCGCGATAGCCCTACGCGACAAAAAGTGGGATGTTAGCTTATCGTGGTCTCAGGGGGAGAGGGTAAGAGGGGTGGGAAGGGAGGGAATACCGGTCAAGGTCGCTCATGGTGCTCGAGCGCAGCAGGAGATAATCGGAATGAGCAACTGAGTTGGAGCAGGGAGCAGGGAGGGTGGGTCCTGACGGCAGAAGAATGGAGGAGGCACTTGAGTCAATGCCGATGGAAAGGGCGCAAGATGGATGAAGGAGGAAACCGCTAAGCGCAGAAAAACAGAACGCTCATTTTCTCGTCTAATGCAGTGCTCGACTGAAGCAGAGCGAGAACGGGCGAGATGGGAGGAGGGAGGAGAGGGGGCAGAAGAGTGGAGGCAGAGGTCAGAGGTGGGCGATGGCAGCTCAGGCGGTTTGAGTCCCTTCAGTTTCCAGTTTGCACCTCGCCGCTGTCTCTGATGGCCAATCATATGCAGTAAAGATAAGATTAGATCTGATCGCCAAGACTAGACCGAATTCATCCAGTTCGGGAAGTTTGTAGCCTGAATTTGCTGCCTCAGTTCGGTTCCCTTTCCAGTCTCCCCATCATAACTTCTCTCCCCTCCCCGGCTTCCCCGGTGGTCCTTCTATCGCGCCCCCAGCTATCCATTGGTGAGGCCATACCGTGATTGGGGCCTCCTGCCTTGCCTGTCTTTAATCCTTTGTGCTCTCGTCGCTACAAGGTTTGACTGGCCCTTTCTTTTCAATGGTTGTTATGCACTGAAACTGACCGATGTCCCCGACCTAGTCAACGCATCATCATTGTCACCGTCACCCTCCGCTCCGCATAATAATTCACCTTACTCCTCAATTGATCACATCCATCTTTCAACATGCCGCCGCATCTACATCCCCGGTCACGGTCAACGTCCTCCCTCTTCGCTGGGACGCTCCTGGCTTCCTTGGTCGTCGTCGGCCTACCACATGTCTTTCCCTGTCCCGCCCCGCGTCGCACATTCGCCGATTCCGAGATGATAATGTCGGCAGATGGGCAACCAATTCAGAGAATTCGCAGAAGACGTCGGAAAGACGAAGAACTTCTCAGCCAGGATGGCAATCCGCTCGCCCAGACGCAGCCGGCTGCTGATGAGGAGGTGTCTACGTTTCTACAATTAGAAGAAGAAGCACAGAGATTGGCCAAGGCAGGCCACGAGTGTCCAGTTCCCAAGCCGCGAGGAATTCTGGGCGAATTGCTGGGTTTTACGAGTAGTGGAGATATGCCGACATCGACGACGACACAGTCACAACGGGTTGGGGAGGGTCGGTAGCGGACAAAAGGAAAGCGGAAGGACTCAATTAAGGCTCAACTTGGCCTTGAGCATGTACAGCGTGAATGAGTTTTGGATTACACCATGAAATAGGCCATGAAGCAGTCGTGTTGGCTTCGACGGAGGTTGGCTTCGGAAATTTTCGGCCGGGCACAAGATCTGACCCATGGCAGCAATATACCCATCTTTGTATCGATAGTGTACCTACAACTACTGTCTACTATATGATTATGCATACGCGATTAAATACAACTGTCAATTGATGTACAATTCGCCTCAATTCTATGGTAACGAACCCACCTGTTCTGCAGACATGCGGCCGCGCGGACTTGTGTGTCCACGAACGCTAATCCCAAACGGGGCAGCTCTCATTGGCTCTCCGGCACGAAGAGGCCACCCGACATTTACAACTGTGAAAGAATGTAGTCTGAATCAACAACCACACGCAAGATGGACTGGATGCGCCTAATTCGCGATCTGTGTCTCAATCCCCGACACACAAAATGGATGGCTCCGCTTCTGGTCCTAGGCGACGCTTTTCTCTGCGCGCTGATTATCTGGAAAGTTCCCTGTAAGGCTAAAGCTAAGCTCCGTTCACGCCGTTTTGCGACAAGTTGAAGCAATGCCACTAACCTAGCCCCGTTGCTGTTACTCGCAGATACCGAGATTGACTGGACCACATATATGCAACAGATATCGCTCTATTTGTCCGGTGAACGCGATTACACTCTCATCAAAGGATCCACTGGTCCCCTTGTCTATCCGGCCGGTCATGTATACAGTTATACGTTCCTCTATCATCTCACCGATGAGGGGCGCGATATTTTCTTCGGTCAAATACTATTTGCTGTGCTCTACTTGATCACGCTGGTGGTTGTGCTGTGCTGTTATAAACAGTCGGGTGCTCCGCCGTATTTACTTCCGCTGCTGGTCCTTTCCAAGAGACTACATAGCGTTTATGTCCTGCGTCTGTTCAATGATGGCTTGGCGGCGTTGGCAATGTGGGTTGCCATTCTGCTATTCATGAATCGGAAGTGGACGGCTGCGGTCGCAGTGTGGTCTACTGGTGTGGCGATTAAGATGACCTTGTTGCTGCTGGCTCCGGCTATTGCCGTTGTCACGGTGCTTAGTCTGTCGCTTGGACCTAGTGTGAGACTGGGGGTTCTGGCCGTGCTTATCCAGGTAGGTCCCCGTGAGGCTGCAGAATTGGCCAAGGCCGAGTTGCGTGGAGACTAGTCTGACCTTGAGCTACAGGTTTTACTTGCTATACCGTTCCTACAAAACAACCCCGCAGGATATCTCTCGCGGGCGTTCGAGCTAACCAGACAGTTCATGTTCAAGTGGACAGTCAATTGGAGGTTTGTCGGCGAAGAACTATTCTTGTCCAAGAAATTTTCCCTGGCATTGCTGGCCATCCATATCGTGCTGCTGGGCGCCTTTGCCGTCACTGGTTGGTTAAGGCCCTCCGGATCTAGCTTGCCCGTAATCATCCAGAATCTGCTTGCGGGTCGACAGCGCACAGTATCTCTCTCCAGGCCCTACATCATGACCGTGATGCTATCGTCTCTCGCAGTTGGCTTGTTATGCGCAAGGTCCCTTCATTATCAATTCTTCGCCTATCTCTCCTGGGCGACACCCTTCCTCCTCTGGCGCGCAGGGTTTCATCCCATCTTGCTGTACCTCATCTGGGCTATGCAAGAGTGGGCTTGGAATGTATTCCCCAGCACCAACCTCAGTTCCGTTGTTGTTGTCCTCGCACTTGCTGCCCAGAGTTTCGGCGTCCTTGCGAATAGCGCCAGCGCCTTTGATAACATGCGTTCGAAACTTAGCGGTAAAGAGCATATCCAATAGAAGTGGCATCCAGCCAATATCGAGATCGGGCTGTGACAGGTGCATCGATAATCGCAATCGGTCTTGTACCCACGAGGAATAAATGAGAAGCGGTGAACAGGATTGCTCTGTTAAGTAGTCTATTGCCCATGCGACAAGGCCCCGACGCCTGAAGGTCAAATAAGATTCCAATCAAGCATCCGACTCATCTGAAGAAGGCATCTTGCCGACATTGGATTCATCCTCCTCGTCCGAGTCGTCCGCGACAACAACAGCTTGCTTGGCGAATTCCTTTGGCCTGCAAAGGGATCAGTAGTAGCTCCAGGCACTGCGATTGAAGTATCCACTCACCAGAATGGGGCTTTGCGCCACGCTTTCTCATCACGGACGATGTTGACAATCTCTCCCTTGAGCTTGTTGTCGCGGCCCTCGAGGGCATTGGCATCGATTACCACGTAGGAACCCCGCTTGATCCAGATGGTCGACCGGAAGCGGGCAGGGAGCTCCACCAAAACCGATTCCTTCGAGGGAAGTTCCACTGAGTAGATGTTGTTTCCGGTCGCCTTGATAGCCCGGGCGATCAGATGGCCCTGAGGCAGCTCATCCGGCGGGAACATGGTCTCTTCCGCCGTAGCGAGAACCTTGCGCCTAGGAGGACCCATATCGAAAGTACACACGAGTGGTTCAGTGGGAGGTTACGAAATTCTGACGTTGATTGAGTATTATGGAGACTGAAGAATGCGCGAGCAAAATGCGAAAACCGTCGACTGCGGAGGATTTTCTCGAAAGATGAAATTCGGGCGGTAGAAAATCCCCGGTGGGGAGTGTGGGTCCCCATCCGCTTCTTTGCCAGTCTCGCTCTCTCTCTCCCTCTTCCTTCCCCCGCCTTCTAGATCTCTTCCTCAAATACCTAGTGCCTTGCTCATGTTCAGTGGAAGCTCGAAAGAAAAGGTGATATTCAAGCCAGCTACACAGTGTATTACGAAATTCCTCGAAGCAGGGTCTTGCTTGCGAGTCAGGTCTCCTGCACAATGTCTGGGCAAAACCTGGCATCTAGACCACTTGACCTCGTGTTTTGGACACCTCTGCCGGCACTTGAAGTGGATGTATCATATCGTGAAACTTGCATGTGCCTGATTGGCTTCCGAATCCTATCTCTTTGATCTTTGCTTACTGGTGGGGTTTGCGGGGTGATTTTCCGCTGAAGCTAATTCACTTTCTTGGATATTAATAATGATCTCGACACGTCGGGGATCCCCAGAGCTCCCTGAAAGATTTCTCTTTCCTAGGATCCTCACAGTTTTCGTACTACATTTTCTTAGGAATTTCTTTACTGACTGGATACTCCGCTGAAGATGTCGTTCTCAGCCTTGGGTACTCTCGTGGACATCCAGAGTCCGCCGCTAATCACGAGTCCTGCAGCGGTGGTGCGCAAGGATAAGCAAGGGATTCCTCATGCTCCCTCAGACCATGAACTAGAGGGTCTCCGACGAGAACGCAGTCAACAGACCGCCGATATACCCTCTCAGCAGACACTGGGTTTGCAGACGCCGGTAAGCCCCGGGGAATTGGAAAGCCATCCCACTTCGCCGGGAGAGGAAGCTGTGGACTCCATTCCCGCAATACAGAGTCCGCCAATGACTAAATGGCGGCTGTTGAGTGCTTGCTTGATGAACTTCGCCGGGGGACTGAACGACAGCGCTCCTGGAGCCCTCATCCCCTACATGGAGAAAGACTACAATATCGGTTATGCTATCGTGTCGCTGATCTTTGTAACAAATGCGGTGGGGTTCATTCTTGCTGCCCCTTTGACCCAAATGCTGGAGCTAAAGCTCGGCCGGTCAAAGACCTATTCTTTGGCTACAAGCTTGACGACCGCTGGTTATGTCATCCTCGTCTGCAAGCCACCATTCCCTGCCGTTGTGGCCAGTTTTTTCCTACTAGGCCTCGGCATGGCTGTCAACCTAGCCCTGAATAATGTCTTTTGCGCGAACCTTGTGAACGGCACTGCAGCTCTGGGCGCTCTTCATGGTGCTTATGGCATCGGCGGCATCATAGGCCCGCTTGTGGCGACGGCATTGGCATCTCATGGGGTCCGATGGTCCTACTTCTACAGTATCAACCTGGCCATGTCGCTGATCAACATGGTGTTCTCCGCTTGGGCGTTCCGGAAATATGAGAAGGAACCCCCAACACAATTACTGACGGCGCTCCATCGAACCACTTCTCAGCAAACGCCTGGCCCAGTCCAGCCGGCCAGAACACACCTTCTGAAGCAAGCACTGAAGAGTCGACCCACTCTACTTGGAGCTCTGTTCATCTTCGCCTACCAAGGTGCGGAAGTCTCCATTTCCGGCTGGCTGGTCTCGTTCCTTATTAACTATCGTCATGGGGACCCCTCACGGGTTGGCTACGTTAGTGCCGGGTTTTGGGCTGGCATTACCGTTGGACGGTTTGTCCTATCGCATCCCGCCCACCTAGTCGGGGAGAAGCTATCTGTCATCCTACTGGTGCTCGGATCAGTTGCCTTTCAGCTCATGACTTGGCTCATTCCCAACATCATCGGGGACGCCGTGGCCGTAGCCGTAGTGGGTCTACTACTGGGACCAGTGTATCCTTGCGCCACGGTAGTGTTCAGCAAGCTACTGCCGCGCTCAATGCAGACATCTAGTCTGAGCATTATCAGTGCCATGGGCAGTAGCGGGGGAGCAGTGTCACCATTCTTCACCGGTCTGCTGGCCCAAACAGTGAGCACGTACGTCTTGCATCCGATATGCATTGGATTGTACGGCGTAATGCTTATGGGGTGGCTGTCCCTTCCTCGTATCTCGAAGAGATCCGAGTAAACCGGTCCGCCATCCTGCAGGGTGCAGTCACAATTTGTCATCTGGCGTCACGCTTGATGTCGATACTTCATCGTAGTGTGCTTTTGCCCCTTCGCTTCTGATTTCCGTACCGTATGTCCTCCCTACTTCTCGGATATGTGTTCACTTTTTTTCCTTGTTATTCGGGGTTGTTCAGCTGTTGCCTTTCCCATTTTCTTTTCGCGGTCTTCAGGTGTCTCTCTAGGTGCATATGTCTCCCCAATCGCAGGACTCCAAGCTAGTAAGGCAGCCATGGACGGATGATCCGACGGCACATGACCTGCAAGCAGCGTGGTGCAGACATGGAAGTGGGTTGAAAAGCAAGGGGCACTAGAATCGCCCCAGCAAACCCCTCATCCAGGCGACAGGAGGAGGGGAAGGAAGGGTGGACCTCGACCCTTTTGTAGACGTCATTCACGGGGACTGTGGCTGTGGGTTTAAGGGGATCATAGATCTCGGATGCCAAGTGGGAGTCAATACTTTTGATGGGGGAGGATCCCAGCAGCAGCCATGGAAACAAACTGTTTAGTGCCTTTTTGCCTTTTTTTAGTTAACAGAATTTTTCTTTTTTAGTATTATCGGCAGACGCAGGGTGAGAGGAAACGGTCAAGAAGTGGACACCCGAAGTGCCGGCACAAGAGGAAGGAGAATCGGGCCAATTCCATCAACACCACGGCAGAGATGGTAGGAGAGAGGACCGAAAGACAGGGAACACAACGTTATAGTTTAACGGTAGTTTATCTCGCATCTCCGGCGAGAGAATCTCGGGTGATTGGGCCCGAATTACGTGCCTGGGCTGAAGAGTTACTGATGTTGGGGGTTGTTTTTGTTGTTCCTCTGGGCAAATATTCTCCGTGCGTGCAAGATGAAACAGATCATCCATGGATGGACCAGAGACCCTGTGCGGAACAAGCCCCAGTCCAGTCAGTCAGTCAGATCAGTTATCTAGTTAGTTACAGTAGTTGAAGAGGGAGAATAGATTTGATTGCATCATTCTTCCCGGCCGTGTCGTTGCCCCGATGGTCGATCCAGAGATCAGTCCATCAATTATGGGGACAGGAAAAGCAGTGCGGATTGACTTTTTGCCTGATCCCGTTACTAAGTCAGTCAGTCCATCACATTCCGAACCCGCGACTGCTTGCCTGAAGGAGAAAGAAGCGTGAATGTGAGTGAGTGTGAGTGAGTGACTATCGCGGGCGGTAAGAAAACAGAATGGATTGAATAGGAAAAAATAATAACATGCAGAACGAACCAGAGTTTATTCTTTTCTCTTCCTAACTTCTACTATTACTACTACCTCCCTATTTTTCTTTCTCTTCTTATTTCTATAGTGAAACCCTATACTTAACCTGGTACTGGGAGTTCACACCCGTTTTTATCTTTTTTTCCCACATTTCCACACGGCCTCAGCCACAGGTGGAATATTGGAACTCTGAGCCGTCAAGTTCATCGCCACGGGCCCAACTTTGTCTCACGTTTTCCGAGTGGCTTAAACCCTGGACTTTCTTGCCTTGCCTTGCTTGCCTTGGAGGAAGCTGACTTGACCTGACATCCCGTCGTCGCGATCGATCGGACTTCCCCCCCCCCCCCCCCC